CGGGAAGTTTTAGTCACCGTTAGCTTTGTAGATAAAATTGATCATCTTCCGTCCACTTTTGAACTTCGTGGCAGGTATAAAAGTTGCTTCACTCATTGAGATCTTCATTTCTACGAAGTTTGAGAATTTTTGGAAATAGTTAGATTTTTCGGCGAGTCGGGGCAGCCAACCGCCACCCACGACGGCGCGTGGTCAGTGGGCCGCCAATGCTATTTTTAGGCTATGTCGAATGTCTAGAATTCAGTTTTGATATTTGAATGACGTAGCTTGATCGTTGAAACCTAAATTCGTTACGCTACATTACTTGATAAAAATGTGAATAGAGGATCCGATCTGATCGTTGAATCGTCACCAAATTTGGATACATTATAATGCGTAATATTTAAAGTTTATACGAATTTATGGATTGGGAATCCGACTTACAAATCTTCCCAAATTGGATTTGTAAATTAGTAAAATAAATGTTAACCGCCACTTGGTTTTGGGCAATTGGCGGAGATCCGACCATTGGATCGTAATGAATTTTTAATATGTTATTCTAGAAGCATATTGTGGATCTTTGGGAGTTGCAGATTGGAAAGCTGATATGCGGATCTTCCAGGTCGAGTTATACAGGGTTATAGATCTTACCGTCGATCTTTGATCAACGGTTGAGTTGTGGTCAATGGGTCTCGAACTATTTTAGAATGTCCTTGAGGATGTGTTTTACGTGAATTAGGTATTCTGTTGATAAGAGTTATGAGATGTGATTCGATAATTGGTCACATGCGCTAATCATTTAGGACATCTCGATGCGTGGGCTAGAGAATTATAGCATGTACTTCAGGTGAGTGGATCTTTTCTTTTTATTGTACATATTATTGATAGTTTAATCGACACTTTTAAATTGATTTAGGTATATTACCTTCATATAATTAATGTGAATGCTTGAAGTACTATTATGAACTACGAATGGCTTGATCCCTGTTTAGGGTACGTAAACAGTCTAATGAGACGTTAGATGTAGCCATAATATATTTGAGACAAAAGCCTTATTTGGGAAATTGAGCAATGTGAAGGAAGTTGGTGGAAATGTGAGATTTAACCTTATGTTTTTTATGGTTAAATGTTGGTTATAAATCAATGTGTGAGACATTGAGAGAGTGAAGTAAAGAATCGTAAATAATGATGGTTAATTAAACTAATATTTAGTTGGACTTGTTCCCGATAATTATTCTCGAAATAAATAGTTCGGGAGTGAGGTATTACAGACTATGCATATTTCGTCATGTTATATATATATATATATACACCGGTAAATGTTGTAATATGGTTGAGTATTTGATTGCATCATGACATATGCATATGTATACTACCTGTAAAGAATTACTATGAATGCTTTGAAGTGCGAAAAGAAACGCATGACGCAAGTAAGTTCAGGGAAGTTTATGGTGTTACTTGAACTGATCGAGTTATGGCATGACTATATTTATACTTTAGGCAACTCCGACCTTGTCGTACAGGTTGCAATGATAGGCAACTCCAACACTATCGTACAGGTTGCCTACGAGTCGTAGATGTTATGTTAAGATGCATTGAGAGCTTATAAACTTGCACCCTGATATTAGTGCTTCCGCCCGTGGCCAGGGTACAGTTCTTCACGTGATGTTCACCTCCCGCACCTTACGTTCACCTTGGATCCAAGGTAGGTGCACAATCATGTCGTATAGACCACAATAGGTGGTTCCGACTCATAGGAGACCCGCGATTATTCGCACAGTCTTCACGTGATCGTAGCACTTGAGCGTATTTATTTACACCCAGTCCTGTCATACAGACCACTTTAGGTGGTTCTGACTCGTGTGCAGGTATACTTATTGAGCTATTAGCTAGCATGTTGATAAGCTATTGACTAACATGTTATTGAGCTATTGGCTAGCATGTTGACGAGCTATTGGCTAACATCTTATTATTGTAACATTCCACATCGCCCGGGGAAGTGGATCCTATAAGCCTTATATCTATATTCTCATCTCTACCTATCACGAGGCCTTTTGGGAGCTCACTGACTTCGGGTTTCATGGGAACTCCGAAGTTAAGCGAGTTCGCACAAGAGCAATCCCAAGATGGGTGATTCACTAAGAAATTCTCGTGTGAATTCCCAGAAATAAAATTGTAAGGGCGTTGTCGGGGTGATAGAGCAGGCCCGGAATGTGGTGGGGCCTGAGCTGGGATGTGACATCTTCCACCTTACACCACATTTCAATATTTTCAACACTTTCTACCAAAGTTTTCATATAATTTTTGAGAGAATAAAAAATGACTTTGGAAGCTTATCGAAGATGTTACGTTTTGTGAATGCTAGGTTCACACTACTCATGGAAAAGGCGCCATAAGTATTCAAGGTCATTGGAAAAAACTTAACGCATCATTTACTTGTTGGAAAAACACTATCTCTTATGCTTCCGGTAATCTGCGTTGTGGGACAAGTTTAGCAGATCAGGTGATAATATTTTTATTTATTTATATGTATTCCACCCACATCAATATTTTAATTTATTTATTCTGCATTTTATAACACTGTCTTATCCCACATTTATAGACACTACAAGCACAAGCATTCTACAATGCGAAGAATCACAACAAATCATTCAACAAATGGGAATGTTGGCAAATTGTCAAAGATTGCCCCAAATACAAACTTGTGGCAACTGGTCCAGAAGTTGTTATGCATTGCATGAGTCTAACACAGTTCGCCAGAAGTAGACACGGTTGAACAAGAAGGCGGCACATTTGAAAAGACAAAAGGGAAGCCAGAAGAAGTGATGGAAACCCAGCCGACTTGTCAGTCCCTTAGGCCTCAAGGTAAAAAGGCGGCAAAGAAAAAAGAGAGTTCTTCCAAAAATGACTACACAAAATACATGGACGAACTTGCTCGTCAAGATGAACTGAACATGGCATAAGAAGCGGCTAGAGATGAGGAAAAAGCATCTATTATTGCAGTAATATTAACAGCTACTGAAAGACGTGATGTGGCGACTGAGAGACATAGATAAATAGTTAATCGAGAAAACGAGATGATTAAAGAAGCACTTAATCGAGAAAATGAGATGCTTAAAGAATAAAGGATGGCTCAAGCAGATTATGACACTATGAACAAGCCTCTAGTAGGACTGTCTTCGAATTCAAAATATTTTTGGACATCAAAAAAAGGAGACATGGTGCGAAGTAGGTGTGCAAGAGACGCGAAAACAAGTCGAGGGGGTTCCAGCTACACAGATCCTAGCACCACATATCCTAGATCCACAGACTACGTATAATTTCTTATTTATTTGTAGTACTTTAATTAATTTCGCCTTTACTTTTAGTTCTTACTAGGATTCATGCCCGCGCGATGCGACGGGTCGAAAACTTTGTCATGTAATTAACAAATACAAATAAAAAGGGGCAAGTAAAAGAGTCCATGAATTTCCGTAGTGTAAATGTACTCCAACATGATCAGGTCAAAAGGAGATTCCTTCACTCTCAATATGGTTCATCAAAAGTAGTGTCTTATTTCTTCAAGTCAAACATTTAGGACAACACCAATCACAACTACAAATACTAACAACTGTGCAAAAGAATTATAAAAACACTCATGTACCATGTAAGAACAAACCTCACAATTGGTCTTAAGAATTGTTTTTCCAAAGAGACCCATTACAACGCGATATGAAAGAAAACAAAACATGAATAATATCAAGGAAAGTACATTCTCTGTCAAGTAAAATCTACGTCAGGTAATGAACAAAATACAAAGTTCTCAGCTTTAATTTAATTATTATCAAATATTGAGGGAAATTAACAACTACCCATAAATGTTTGCTAAAAATTAATTGACAATATGAATAATTTAATTACACAACATTTACAAAACCCAAAGTTCTTAAGCTTAATTTGATCTTACCATTTAAGTGGAAGAAGTAAAAAATTACACATAAATGTTTACACACAATTAATTGATGAAACAACCAATTCGGTAATCAAAAATTTCAGATGAAGAAATCATACCAATGGGTTTCCATTAATTTCGATATTGAAGTTTAACTTTTTGAGTCACTTGCTCTAAATCGTTCTCCTGCCAAAAATGTAAACAAACCCCCAAAATAAGGAGCTCTGTTGGTTCCCAAATATTAACAACTGCTTCACGTGTACCTTTCATGAAACAGGTGGTGATTGCTGCTACTAAGCAGGATTGAAGATTGAGTATCTGATTATTATAGGAATTAGAAGTCATCTTCCAGACAAAATCAAATACACAGGGATAGGCAATCAAACTAATGGTGCAGTGAAGACAATAAAACACAACCTACTACTCCCTCCCTCTCTCTCTGTGCAAAGGCGGCATGGCTCTCATTCACCAAACCCTCATTGAATGACAGCCACCTAGACCCATCCCAATCCGTCCCAAAACCATAGGACAAAATTAACCTTCCTAACTTAGCATCCTGACCGCTTCGGATCTAAAAACTTTTGGCACAGAGAGTGCACATCCATAATTTAAATTCACAGATCTAGTGCATGCAAGCGTACATTAGTAAAGGGAGCCAGAGATTATTACATTTTACCTTGGGTCCGAGATACTTAAGTCGTGTGCTCTCCATTTTCCAAACAGACTTGAGCGTTGCAGTAGCGTCCTGCAAAGAAATCATAGATACATTAGCTGGCACAGAGAATAGACAAATTTTTTTGTTTCAGACCGCAGATCCAAGAACCACACTTATTTCACCGATTATTGGCTATGGACAGAAAAGCGAAGCAAGGGATAGGATGTTTACCTTTGGAAATTTTGTACTCTCTAATGAAAGAGGGGAACCCAGAATGAAAAAAACCAAAGGGCAAACAATTAAATAGACGCCCAGAAAATCCCCCAACCGATTAAAAAAAATAACAATAAAATAATCAAAAACCATGCTGCCTAACCTAACAAAACCAGTACAAAAAAATTTGGAAAATTTTTTTTGGGCTTTTCAATCACCATATTCACGCAGATATAAATGCAAGAAACAATAAAAAAAAACAGATTTTAGTACAAAATGTAATTGAAAAAGACACTTATCTGAGCATGCAATACAGTATGGACAATGAAGAGTGACTCCCGGACTAAGGGACCATACTCGCGCTTGTTCACCATCACCCCTCTCTCTGTGTTTCTCTCCCTGAAATCCCGATGATCCCCCTCTCTTTCACCGTCACACTCTCACTCACTGAATCAAAGATCGACACTGACATCCTCACCCCTCTCTCTCTCTCTCTCAGAAACAAACTAAATGAACAAAGTGCCTGACCCATCCCAATCCGTCCGAAACCCTATGGACAAAATTACCATCCAACCCCCTCTCTCATATCACCTGACGGCAAGATCTGAACCCTTGATGGGGTAGTGTGGTCATTTTGACTCCCAAACTGTAGTGATCCCTTGCAAAAGAAACCGGCAAACAAAGAAAAAAGAACAAACGATGAGCAATAAAACTCACAGACCATAATACACAAAATTCCCTATAACGTAAATTGATAAAGCATTTTACCCAATCTAATTGAATTCCTGATCACAACACATAAGATAAACTAATAAACCATTTTATCTAAACAACCATTTAATTTTAAACATTTAAAACCGAAGAGAACCAAACGCGCATATTTGGGAAAAAATGGAGTGTTTTGAGCATCTAAATCTCACCCTCAACACTTTAAAAATGCAGCGGTCCCAATGGAAGGAGAACTTGCAAAACAGCGTCCCAGCACAAACACAACATATAAAACAAACAAACAAAGACAAATTTTTTTTTAAAAAACCGATAATGAACAATAAAATTAAAAAATCCTAGGATACAAAATCGCAAACGACATAAAAATTAGTAATAAAACTTATGAAAAAACAGACACCGCTTGACACCAAATGCTTGACGCCAATGACAACCCCAAAGGCAAGAAAAATCCCAAACCAGTTAAGAAAAAATTAAGAGTCCATTCCTCTGTCATATTCTTTTCCCCTGTTTTGCTACCCCTAATCCCAAATGTGTCTTCGATGCTCTTTGTCCCCTTTTTCTCTCACCCTAATATCTCACCTGCAAAATCTTAACGCTGCTGCCTTCCCCCACTAACAAACCCTCAACACCCTGTAATGCTATTTTCTTCCAAATCTATAACAAAAAATGCATGCATAAACACGATAGAAATTTGCAAAAACCCACAACACAACCTAACTAAAAATCTCACGGATTAAAAGTTTCACCCAAAAGAATCCCCCATCTCTCTTATCAAATGAAAACTCCAAAAGCAATTCAATGGTTGATAACAACCCATTTAAAATTGAACCCTTCTCTCACATTGATTAGTCGTTCATTCTGCACCTGCATTTTTCTAGTTCTACGTTATGAGTTCTATGTACAACTCAAAAAAGCAGATTTTAACAACTAAAAGGATGGACAGTAACACCATATGACCATGTTATGATAAAAAATGATAAACAAAGATTCGCTCAAAAAGCAGAGCATAAAAAACTCCCAAAAACAAAGATCAGGATCTCTTCATCCGAATTATAAGTATTGTATATAAGTCTTCAAATACAGGACTAATGTGTTATAAGTATGGTGTGTGAAAAGTATTTACATAACGTTGTTCCAAATCAATAGTTGGACAGAATAACATGATAAACTTTATTTTGAGCAGGAACGTGAAAAACTATCTAGCAACACAATCTATCAAGAGATGTAAGTTCTCTATATACATATATATTTATACCAACTTGTCATATTTAATAAAACTAAAAGCATGACAATAAGGGAACCTTGGCTGCCATAAGTCATATCCGGCAGCTGCTTCAGCCACCCCCACTGGAATTTAGGGTTGAGTGCATTTCATTCGAAAATCCATCACCATGAAAAATGAAAACAAAAATTCAATTCAAATCCAACATATCCAACGACCCAAATATTATAATAATCTAATCAGACAATAAACAATTAGAGATGAAGCTCAATTACCATAAAGAAATGAGGGGTTGTCTAGTAGAAGCCAGTTGAAGCTTCATCAAATATATAGAGGATGATCAACCAATAAGAGACTAATCTCAATTACCTTTCCTGTTCCCGGAAAATCACTTCCAGGCCGGCTACGAAATATTAGAAGGTCCGTAAACTCATAAGGCTAATATATAAATTAAGTCTCCCTCTATCCCTTGCAACGCAAAGCAAAAGAAAGCCCCTCCTTTTCATAATCCCACACAGGTGAGGTTAACACTTGCAGAGAGGGAAAATGGCTTATCACTTATGCCATATCTATTGTCTAACATACCTTGAACTGCCAACTCCACCATTCCCCAGGCTAGCAGATACCATACCGACGTCTGATCCCTTCACTACTGCAACACAGCAGATGATGATACTACTTCCCCTCCTCGCAACACTCCCTGCTCCTACGTCCACTCCCATCCAAGCACCTATCTTTCTATTAAACAACATAAAAATTCAAATTTCTTTCCACAAAAGCAATAATTAAAATTAAAATTCATAAAACATAGAAATTGAGCTGAAATTGCTGAAACAAAATTCAAATGAAAATTTTTAAAAATTGCAGAGTCAGTTAATTACTTAATTTAGCTCGGATCCACACCAAACTCACTCCAATTTTTTACAAATACAAATACAAATTTAAAAACCACCACCGATCCTCCGAAATCAATCGGACTCCAACAAAACAATTAATTTTCGGCATTTTCAAACGCAATACATCCAAAAGTCAGAAATCGGTTCAGACGACTGACCTGCAAGCGTTTCGAGGAGGCTTGGAAGCAGAGCTCGCGCATTCCGCTCCGCTCCTGGAATTTTTTAGATTTGAGCAGAAAATTTGGGAAGGAGAAGAATTGGATCGGAGAGAGGGAAAATTCAATCTACTTCAGGATCAAACACTAAAGCACGAAACTTTACCTTTTCCCTTCTCAAATCTGACATCTTCGAGAGCTCCACCCTACTTTTGATGGTGGTATCTGAGTTCATTTGTGGGTGTCGGCGACTTGCAAGGATGATGGATCCACGAAATGGAGGTTGGTTTGTGGGCAGAAGGATAATTCGATATGGGTTCGTGTGGAGGTGCATCGTTGATTGTTCAACGGATTTAACTGAGATGATGAAGAGGAATGGGGTGAGCAGCGCTGGGGCTAGGTTGAGAGAAATGGAGAGAGAAATCTCTCGAATTTGATAGGAACTGAGAGAGAAACGGTGCTAGGGTTTTAGGAAATGAGCTCAGAGTGAGAAAAGGAGAGGATGGGGGATTTGATGGATGGTTATCGAGAAAGCGTCGGGAGAGAAAGACGGAAAGAAAAGGCGGTGGTAATTTTGTAAATAAAGTGAAATTCGGCTAAACCTACGGACACAATTACCCCCTAACTTTTAAGAATTACCTTCCCAACCCAGCCCAGATCTGATGGTTTTTGTTGTAAATAACGTGAAATCGAGGGGCAAACAATTGACTGTAGCCATGAACAGTGCCAATTCCCCTCCAACTTTAGAATAGATAATATGTAATTTCGTCTTTATTTTTAGTACTTTATGTAATTTCTTATTTATTTTTAGTACTTTATGTAATTTCTTAAAAAATTAAAACTATTTATTTATTATTTTATAAAAAATTTAATAATATTTTAAATGGACTGGATGCCACCACATTTTGTAAGGGTATAGATCATTTACGCCAGCGCATTTTTTAGAGGTGAAGATTCCTCTGACCTATTACTATTCATTTGGGTCTATTAATGTTCACTGAGTGAATTAAATGGGCTAGATGCTGGTGAATTTTTTTAGGGATGGACTTGCTCTAAAGAAAAAAAAGAGTGCAAAAGGTGGAGAGAATGAGAGATGTGAACAAAATTTAATCCTTCAATTATGTCACATAATAGTAATACACACTAATTCATATGATAAACATCATAAAAATATAACTTATAAACAATAAAGAATCCTAAACTTTCGGCTATGGATACCAAATTATCAGTGGAAGAGACAAACAGATCCACAAGGAATGACTGGTAATAATTCACTCTTAATATACAAAAAGATTTGCAAAAACTCGGCAGCATGCCGGCAAACCCCTTAGAAAACTTAACAGCTACAATCACAATAATTATGAGTGTACAGAAGACATACTCTTTTCCGTGGTCTGATTTACTGCTGCAAACAAGGAACTCCTAAGACAAGTTCATTTCGCGCATTAGAGATTCAATCTTCTCAACATCTTCAGGGGCGTCAACACCATGAGCCTCGTGGTCAACTTTAATCACCTGCAAACGTAGAACCATTTGAACATTTGGACATCCACATTTAAGCAAAAGAACCCGTCCAGGTATTCTACATCCTGGGACGTTTGATTTTTATACCCCATATTTGAGGAGATCAACTACCTCAGGCAAATATATGAAATTGCAATTCTTTTTCCTATTGGACTGAGTTAGTAGTATTTGAGAGTTCCATGAAATTAAATTGATAGCATTTTGACGAACTAGCTTATTAAATCATCGCAAGCTACATGTATGATGTTTAATGCTCATGCCGCCAAGATAAAGGACTTCGTACCCATGAAATGGCATGGTTAAATTCATTAAATCAATTTTGATGACTGAATCAATGTCAAATATGACTTGAATACAAACAGAATGAACATACCACAAAACAACGAGAAGATAAGACGAGTAAGATCAACAGAATAGAACAAGAAAGCATTGCAATGAGATGCGAGTAGGGAAGAACAACGGATCTTTTTGTACCTTCATCTTATACCCATTTTCAAGGACCTTAAGCTGCTCCAGATCCTCTTCTAGTTGCAAAGGAGTAGGTTGAAGTTCTGGATATATCTTTAGAAACTTTGTATCATAGCTCTGAAAACACAGGAACGGAGAATAATAAGCTCACAAGTTAAAAGCCAATACAAGTGGTATAAAATAACTTACAACCACAAATAACCATGCACAATTTATCAAAGTACAATGTCAATTTAATACCTGAATTCCTAGATGAAGCAAATAGGGAAACTGTGGATTTGCCTTTCCTGACCTTTATCAGAGGACAATTAGTCAAGTCTTGCTAACAACCAGAAAACAAGTTCTAACTTTTTTCATTCACCACGATGTAAATAGTTTCATGAGAAAAGAAAATCTCGTATGCAAACCGATAAACACAAGAGACAAAAACAGATAAGCATAAGCTTACTTGTTAAATGGAATCAGCCCCCTGGAAAAATAGATGGCATAACCACTATTATCCACCACACATTTCACTCGATTTGGATCCCATGCATCTTCAAGTTGTAATGACGTGACTGCAGTGCTAAACACTGCATCTGGAGCTTCCTGACAAGATTAAAAAATCCATTAAATACCGAAATACGTCATCACATTAGAAATGAAATTAAACGGCTAAAGGGGAAGAATTGTTGAAAATCGAAAATAGCAGAATGCCAACGTCAATTTATTCTTCCTATGGTGGCAGTCACATCTGAAGGGGCAAAATCATGGAAAAAAAGGAGAAATTAGTTACCTGCAAAGCTTTAACAATTCCGTCTATTATCTCAGGTTCAATAAGAGGCTCATCCCCTTGAATATTGACAACTATATCATACTTCTTCTCGAGCTTCTCAATTGCTTCAGAACAACGCTCGGTACCTTTAAGTTCATAAAAAAGAATATAAGCTACCGTAAAAAGCAATTATATAATTAATCTGAAAAAGGTGTATACCGTTCCGGCAGGATTCTGAGGTCATTACGACATCAGCTCCAAAACTGTGACAACATTCTCGAATCCTCTCGTCATCTGTTGCCACAACTACACAAGGGAAGGTAAAATAAGGTTTCACACATATACATAGACAGAGTTCACGTCACAAAATTTCATGAAGCCTTTTTATCACTCTCATCGGCATTAAGAAAAACTTGATGACATCAAGAGGATGTAAGCATTATCTATTCTAAAGTTGGAGGGGAATTGGCACTGTTCATGGCTACAGTCAATTGTTTGCCCCTCAATTTCACGCTATTTACAACAAAAACCATCAGATCTGGGCTGGGTTGGGAAGGTAATTCTTAAAAGTTAGGGGGTAATTGTGTCCGTAGGTTTAGCCGAATTTCACTTTATTTACAAAATTACCACCGCCTTTTCTTTCCGTCTTTCTCTCCCGACGCTCTCTCGATAACCATCCATCAAATCCCCCATCCTCTCCTTTTCTCACTCTGAGCTCATTTCCTAAAACCCTAGCACCGTTTCTCTCTCAGTTCCTATCAAATTCGAGAGATTTCTCTCTCCATTTCTCTCAACCTAGCCCCAGCGCTGCTCACCCCATTCCTCTTCATCATCTCAGTTAAATCCGTTGAACAATCAACGATGCACCTCCACACGACCCATATCGAATTATCCTCCTGCCCACGAACCAACCTCCATTTCGTGGATCCATCATCCTTGCAAGTCGCCGACACCCACAAATGAACTCAGATACCACCATCAAAAGTAGGGTGGAGCTCTTGAAGATGTCAGATTTGAGAAGGGAAAAGGTAAAGTTTCGTACTTTAGTGTTTGATCCTGAAGTAGATTGAATTTTCCCTCTCTCCGATCCAATTCTTCTCCTTCCCAAATTTTCTGCTCAAATCTAAAAAATTCCAGGAGCGGAGCGGAATGCGCGAGCTCTGCTTCCGGGCCTCCCCGAAACGCTTGCAGGTCAGTCGTCTGAACCGATTTCTGACTTTTGGATGTATTGCGTTTGAAAATGCCGAAAATTAATTGTTTTGTTGGAGTCCGATTGATTTCGGAGGATCGGTGGTGGTTTTTAAATTTGTATTTGTATTTGTAAAAAATTGGAGTGAGTTTGGTGTGGATCCGAGCTAAATTAAGTAATTAACTGACTCTGCAATTTTTAAAAATTTTCATTTGAATTTTGTTTCAGCAATTTCAGCTCAATTTCTATGTTTTATGAATTTTAATTTTAATTATTGCTTTTGTGGAAAGAAATTTGAATTTTTATGTTGTTTAATAGAAAGATAGGTGCTTGGATGGGAGTGGATGTAGGAGCAGAGAGTGTTGCGAAGAGGGGAAGTAGTATCATCATCTGCTGTGTTGCAGTAGTGAAGGGATCAGACGTCGGTATGGCATCTGCTAGCCTGGGGAATGGTGGAGTTGGCAGTTCAAGGTATGTTAGACAATAGATATGGCATAAGTGATAAGCCATTTTCCCTCTCTGCAAGTGTTAACCTCACCTGTGTGGGATTATGAAAAGGAGGGGCTTTCTTTTGCTTTGCGTTGCAAGGGATAGAGGGAGACTTAATTTATATATTAGCCTTATGAGTTTACGGACCTTCTAATATTTCGTAGCGGGCCTGGAAGTGATTTTCCGGGAACAGGAAAGGTAATTGAGATTAGTCTCTTATTGGTTGATCATCCTCTATATATTTGATGAAGCTTCAACTGGCTTCTACTAGACAACCCCTCATTTCTTTATGGTAATTGAGCTTCATCTCTAATTGTTTATTGTCTGATTAGATTATTATAATATTTGGGTTGTTGGATATGTTGGATTTGAATTGAATTTTTGTTTTCATTTTTCATGGTGATGGATTTTCGAATGAAATGCACTCAACCCTGAATTCCAGTGGGGGTGGCTGAAGCAGCTGCCGGATATGACTTATGGCAGCCAAGGTTCCCTTATTGTCATGCTTTTAGTTTTATTAAATATGACAAGTTGGTATAAATATATATGTATATAGAGAACTTACATCTCTTGATAGATTGTGTTGCTAGATAGTTTTTCACGTTCCTGCTCAAAATAAAGTTTATCATGTTATTCTGTCCAACTATTGATTTGGAACAACGTTATGTAAATACTTTTCACACACCATACTTATAACACATTAGTCCTGTATTTGAAGACTTATATACAATACTTATAATTCGGATGAAGAGATCCTGATCTTTGTTTTTGGGAGTTTTTTATGCTCTGCTTTTTGAGCGAATCTTTGTTTATCATTTTTTATCATAACATGGTCATATGGTGTTACTGTCCATCCTTTTAGTTGTTAAAATCTGCTTTTTTGAGTTGTACATAGAACTCATAACGTAGAACTAGAAAAATGCAGGTGCAGAATGAACGACTAATCAATGTGAGAGAAGGGTTCAATTTTAAATGGGTTGTTATCAACCATTGAATTGCTTTTGGAGTTTTCATTTGATAAGAGAGATGGGGTATTCTTTTGGGTGAAACTTTTAATCCGTGAGATTTTTAGTTAGGTTGTGTTGTGGGTTTTTGCAAATTTCTATCGTGTTTATGCATGCATTTTTTGTTATAGATTTGGAAGAAAATAGCATTACAGGGTGTTGAGGGTTTGTTGGTGGGGGAAGGCAGCAGCGTTAAGATTTTGCAGGTGAGATATTAGGGTGAGAGAAAAAGGGGACAAAGAGCATCGAAGACACATTTGGGATTAGGGGTAGCAAAACAGGGGAAAAGAATATGACAGAGGAATGGACTCTTAATTTTTTCTTAACTGGTTTGGGATTTTTCTTGCCTTTGGGGTCGTCATTGGCGTCAAGCATTTGGTGTCAAGCGGTGTCTGTTTTTTCATAATTTTTATTACTAATTTTTATGTCGTTTGCGATTTTGTATCCTAGGATTTTTTAATTTTATTGTTCATTATCGGTTTTTTAAAAAAAAATTTGTCTTTGTTTGTTTGTTTTATATGTTGTGTTTGTGCTGGGACGCTGTTTTGCAAGTTCTCCTTCCATTGGGACCGCTGCATTTTTAAAGTGTTGAGGGTGAGATTTAGATGCTCAAAACACTCCATTTTTTCCCAAATATGCGCATTTGGTTCTCTTCGGTTTTAAATGTTTAAAATTAAATGGTTGTTTAGATAAAATGGTTTATTAGTTTATCTTATGTGTTGTGATCAGGAATTCAATTAGATTGGGTAAAATGCTTTATCAATTTACGTTATAGGGAATTTTGTGTATTATGGTCTGTGAGTTTTATTGCTCATCGTTTGTTCTTTTTTCTTTGTTTGCCGGTTTCTTTTGCAGGGGATCACTACAGTTTGGGAGTCAAAATGACCACACTACCTTGTCAAGGGTTCAGATCATGCCGTCAGGTGATATGAGAGAGGGGGTTGGATGGTAATTTTGTCCATAGGGTTTCGGACGGATTGGGATGGGTCAGGGACTTTGTTCATTTAGTTTGTTTCTGAGAGAGAGAGAGAGGGGTGAGGATGTCAGTGTCGATCTTTGATTCAGTGAGTGAGAGTGTGACGGTGAAAGAGAGGGGGATCATTGGGATTTCAGGGAGAGAAACACAGAGAGAGAGGTGATGGTGAACAAGCGCGAGTATGGTCCCTTAGTCCGGGAGTCACTCTTCATTGTCCATACTGTATTGCATGCTCAGATAAGTGTCTTTTTCAATTACATTTTGTACTAAAATCTGTTTTTTTTTTTTATTGTTTCTTGCATTTATATCTGCGTGAATATGGTGATTGAAAAGCCCAAAAAAAAATTTCCAAATTTTTTTGTACTGGTTTTGTTAGGTTAGGCAGCATGGTTTTTGGTTATTTTATTGTGATTTTTTTTAATCGGTTGGGGGATTTTCTGGGCGTCTATTTAATTGTTTGCCCTTTGGTTTTTTTCATTCTGGGTTCCCCTCTTTCATTAGAGAGTACAAAATTTCCAAAGGTAAACATCCTATCCCTTGCTTCGCTTTTCTGTCCATAGCCAATAATCGGTGAAATAAGTGTGGTTCTTGGATCTACGGTCTGAAACAAAAAAATTTGTCTATTCTCTGTGCCAGCTAATGTATCTATGATTTCTTTGCAGGACGCTACTGCAACGCTCAAGTCTGTTTGGAAAATGGAGAGCACACAACTTAAGTATCTCGGACCCAAGGTAAAATGTAATAATCTCTGGCTCCCTTTACTAATGTACGCTTGCATGCACTAGATCTGTGAATTTAAATTATGCATGTGCACTTTCTGTGCCAAAAGTTTTTAGATCCGAAGCGGTCATGATGCTAAGTTAGGAAGGTTAATTTTGTCCTATGGTTTTGGGACGGATTGGGATGGGTCTAGGTGGCTGTCATTCAATGAGGGTTTGGTGAATGAGAGCCATGCCGCCTTTGCACAGAGAGAGAGGGAGGGAGTAGTAGGTTGTGTTTTATTGTCTTCACTGCACCATTAGTTTGATTGCCTATCCCTGTGTATTTGATTTTGTCTGGAAGATGACTTCTAATTCCTATAATAATCAGATACTCAATCTTCAATCCTGCTTAGTAGCAGCAATCACCACCTGTTTCATGAAAGGTACACGTGAAGCAGTTGTTAATATTTGGGAACCAACAGAGCTCCTTATTTTGGGGGTTTGTTTACATTTTTGGCAGGAGAACGATTTAGAGCAAGTGACTCAAAAAGTTAAACTTCAATATCGAAATTAATGGAAACCCATTGGTATGATTTCTTCATCTGAAATTTTTGATTACCCAATTGGTTGTTTCATCAATTAATTGTGTGTAAACATTTATGTGTAATTTTTTACTTCTTCCACTTAAATGGTAAGATCAAATTAAGCTTAAGAACTTTGGGTTTTGTAAATGTTGTGTAATTGAATTATTCATATTGTCAATTAATTTTGAGCAAACATTTATGGGTAGTTGTTAATTTCCCTCAATATTTGATAATAATTAAACTAAAGCTGAGAACTTTGTATTTTGTTCATTACCTGACGTAGATTTTACTTGACAGAGAATGTACTTTCCTTGATATTATTCATGTTTTGTTTTCTTTCATATCGCATTGTAATGGGTCTCTTTGGAAAAACAATTCTTAAGACCAATTGTGAGGTTTGTTCTTACATGGTACATGAGTGTTTTTATAATTCTTTTGCACAGTTGTTAGTATTTGTAGTTGTGATTGGTGTTGTCCTACATGTTTGACTTGAAGAAATAAGACACTACTTTTGATGAACCATATTGAGAGTGAAGGAATCTCCTTTTGACCTGATCATGTTGGAGTACATTTACACTATGGAAATTCATGGACTCTTTTACTTGACCCTTTTTATTTGTATTTGTTAATTACATGACAAAGTTTTCGACCCGTCGCATCGCGCGGGCATGAATCCTAGTTATCTATTCTAAAGTTGGAGGGGAATTGGCACTGTTCATGGCTACAGTCAATTGTTTGCCCCTCAATTTCACGCTATTTACAACAAAAACCATCAGATCTGGGCTGGGTTGGGAAGGTAATTCTTAAAAGTTAGGGGGTAATTGTGTCCGTAGGTTTAGCCGAATTTCACTTTATTTACAAAATTACCACCGCCTTTTCTTTCCGTCTTTCTCTCCCGACGCTCTCTCGATAACCATCCATCAAATCCCCCATCCTCTCCTTTTCTCACTCTGAGCTCATTTCCTAAAACCCTAGCACCGTTTCTCTCTCAGTTCCTATCAAATTCGAGAGATTTCTCTCTCCATTTCTCTCAACCTAGCCCCAGCGCTGCTCACCCCATTCCTCTTCATCATCTCAGTTAAATCCGTTGAACAATCAACGATGCACCTCCACACGACCCATATCGAATTATCCTCCTGCCCACGAACCAACCTCCATTTCGTGGATCCATCATCCTTGCAAGTCGCCGACACCCACAAATGAACTCAGATACCACCATCAAAAGTAGGGTGGAGCTCTTGAAGATGTCAGATTTGAGAAGGGAAAAGGTAAAGTTTCGTACTTTAGTGTTTGATCCTGAAGTAGATTGAATTTTCCCTCTCTCCGATCCAATTCTTCTCCTTCCCAAATTTTCTGCTCAAATCTAAAAAATTCCAGGAGCGGAGCGGAATGCGCGAGCTCTGCTTCCGGGCCTCCCCGAAACGCTTGCAGGTCAGTCGTCTGAACCGATTTCTGACTTTTGGATGTATTGCGTTTGAAAATGCCGAAAATTAATTGTTTTGTTGGAGTCCGATTGATTTCGGAGGATCGGTGGTGGTTTTTAAATTTGTATTTGTATTTGTAAAAAATTGGAGTGAGTTTGGTGTGGATCCGAGCTAAATTAAGTAATTAACTGACTCTGCAATTTTTAAAAATTTTCATTTGAATTTTGTTTCAGCAATTTCAGCTCAATTTCTATGTTTTATGAATTTTAATTTTAATTATTGCTTTTGTGGAAAGAAATTTGAATTTTTATGTTGTTTAATAGAAAGATAGGTGCTTGGATGGGAGTGGATGTAGGAGCAGAGAGTGTTGCGAAGAGGGGAAGTAGTATCATCATCTGCTGTGTTGCAGTAGTGAAGGGATCAGACGTCGGTATGGCATCTGCTAGCCTGGGGAATGGTGGAGTTGGCAGTTCAAGGTATGTTAGACAATAGATATGGCATAAGTGATAAGCCATTTTCCCTCTCTGCAAGTGTTAACCTCACCTGTGTGGGATTATGAAAAGGAGGGGCTTTCTTTTGCTTTGCGTTGCAAGGGATAGAGGGAGACTTAATTTATATATTAGCCTTATGAGTTTACGGACCTTCTAATATTTCGTAGCGGGCCTGGAAGTGATTTTCCGGGAACAGGAAAGGTAATTGAGATTAGTCTCTTATTGGTTGATCATCCTCTATATATTTGATGAAGCTTCAACTGGCTTCTACTAGACAACCCCTCATTTCTTTATGGTAATTGAGCTTCATCTCTAATTGTTTATTGTCTGATTAGATTATTATAATATTTGGGTTGTTGGATATGTTGGATTTGAATTGAATTTTTGTTTTCATTTTTCATGGTGATGGATTTTCGAATGAAATGCACTCAACCCTGAATTCCAGTGGGGGTGGCTGAAGCAGCTGCCGGATATGACTTATGGCAGCCAAGGTTCCCTTATTGTCATGCTTTTAGTTTTATTAAATATGACAAGTTGGTATAAATATATATGTATATAGAGAACTTACATCTCTTGATAGATTGTGTTGCTAGATAGTTTTTCACGTTCCTGCTCAAAATAAAGTTTATCATGTTATTCTGTCCAACTATTGATTTGGAACAACGTTATGTAAATACTTTTCACACACCATACTTATAACACATTAGTCCTGTATTTGAAGACTTATATACAATACTTATAATTCGGATGAAGAGATCCTGATCTTTGTTTTTGGGAGTTTTTTATGCTCTGCTTTTTGAGCGAATCTTTGTTTATCATTTTTTATCATAACATGGTCATATGGTGTTACTGTCCATCCTTTTAGTTGTTAAAATCTGCTTTTTTGAGTTGTACATAGAACTCATAACGTAGAACTAGAAAAATGCAGGTGCAGAATGAACGACTAATCAATGTGAGAGAAGGGTTCAATTTTAAATGGGTTGTTATCAACCATTGAATTGCTTTTGGAGTTTTCATTTGATAAGAGAGATGGGGTATTCTTTTGGGTGAAACTTTTAATCCGTGAGATTTTTAGTTAGGTTGTGTTGTGGGTTTTTGCAAATTTCTATCGTGTTTATGCATGCATTTTTTGTTATAGATTTGGAAGAAAATAGCATTACAGGGTGTTGAGGGTTTGTTGGTGGGGGAAGGCAGCAGCGTTAAGATTTTGCAGGTGAGATATTAGGGTGAGAGAAAAAGGGGACAAAGAGCATCGAAGACACATTTGGGATTAGGGGTAGCAAAACAGGGGAAAAGAATATGACAGAGGAATGGACTCTTAATTTTTTCTTAACTGGTTTGGGATTTTTCTTGCCTTTGGGGTCGTCATTGGCGTCAAGCATTTGGTGTCAAGCGGTGTCTGTTTTTTCATAATTTTTATTACTAATTTTTATGTCGTTTGCGATTTTGTATCCTAGGATTTTTTAATTTTATTGTTCATTATCGGTTTTTTAAAAAAAAATTTGTCTTTGTTTGTTTGTTTTATATGTTGTGTTTGTGCTGGGACGCTGTTTTGCAAGTTCTCCTTCCATTGGGACCGCTGCATTTTTAAAGTGTTGAGGGTGAGATTTAGATGCTCAAAACACTCCATTTTTTCCCAAATATGCGCATTTGGTTCTCTTCGGTTTTAAATGTTTAAAATTAAATGGTTGTTTAGATAAAATGGTTTATTAGTTTATCTTATGTGTTGTGATCAGGAATTCAATTAGATTGGGTAAAATGCTTTATCAATTTACGTTATAGGGAATTTTGTGTATTATGGTCTGTGAGTTTTATTGCTCATCGTTTGTTCTTTTTTCTTTGTTTGCCGGTTTCTTTTGCAGGGGATCACTACAGTTTGGGAGTCAAAATGACCACACTACCTTGTCAAGGGTTCAGATCATGCCGTCAGGTGATATGAGAGAGGGGGTTGGATGGTAATTTTGTCCATAGGGTTTCGGACGGATTGGGATGGGTCAGGGACTTTGTTCATTTAGTTTGTTTCTGAGAGAGAGAGAGAGGGGTGAGGATGTCAGTGTCGATCTTTGATTCAGTGAGTGAGAGTGTGACGGTGAAAGAGAGGGGGATCATTGGGATTTCAGGGAGAGAAACACAGAGAGAGAGGTGATGGTGAACAAGCGCGAGTATGGTCCCTTAGTCCGGGAGTCACTCTTCATTGTCCATACTGTATTGCATGCTCAGATAAGTGTCTTTTTCAATTACATTTTGTACTAAAATCTGTTTTTTTTTTTTATTGTTTCTTGCATTTATATCTGCGTGAATATGGTGATTGAAAAGCCCAAAAAAAAATTTCCAAATTTTTTTGTACTGGTTTTGTTAGGTTAGGCAGCATGGTTTTTGGTTATTTTATTGTGATTTTTTTTAATCGGTTGGGGGATTTTCTGGGCGTCTATTTAATTGTTTGCCCTTTGGTTTTTTTCATTCTGGGTTCCCCTCTTTCATTAGAGAGTACAAAATTTCCAAAGGTAAACATCCTATCCCTTGCTTCGCTTTTCTGTCCATAGCCAATAATCGGTGAAATAAGTGTGGTTCTTGGATCTACGGTCTGAAACAAAAAAATTTGTCTATTCTCTGTGCCAGCTAATGTATCTATGATTTCTTTGCAGGACGCTACTGCAACGCTCAAGTCTGTTTGGAAAATGGAGAGCACACAACTTAAGTATCTCGGACCCAAGGTAAAATGTAATAATCTCTGGCTCCCTTTACTAATGTACGCTTGCATGCACTAGATCTGTGAATTTAAATTATGCATGTGCACTTTCTGTGCCAAAAGTTTTTAGATCCGAAGCGGTCATGATGCTAAGTTAGGAAGGTTAATTTTGTCCTATGGTTTTGGGACGGATTGGGATGGGTCTAGGTGGCTGTCATTCAATGAGGGTTTGGTGAATGAGAGCCATGCCGCCTTTGCACAGAGAGAGAGGGAGGGAGTAGTAGGTTGTGTTTTATTGTCTTCACTGCACCATTAGTTTGATTGCCTATCCCTGTGTATTTGATTTTGTCTGGAAGATGACTTCTAATTCCTATAATAATCAGATACTCAATCTTCAATCCTGCTTAGTAGCAGCAATCACCACCTGTTTCATGAAAGGTACACGTGAAGCAGTTGTTAATATTTGGGAACCAACAGAGCTCCTTATTTTGGGGGTTTGTTTACATTTTTGGCAGGAGAACGATTTAGAGCAAGTGACTCAAAAAGTTAAACTTCAATATCGAAATTAATGGAAACCCATTGGTATGATTTCTTCATCTGAAATTTTTGATTACCCAATTGGTTGTTTCATCAATTAATTGTGTGTAAACATTTATGTGTAATTTTTTACTTCTTCCACTTAAATGGTAAGATCAAATTAAGCTTAAGAACTTTGGGTTTTGTAAATGTTGTGTAATTGAATTATTCATATTGTCAATTAATTTTGAGCAAACATTTATGGGTAGTTGTTAATTTCCCTCAATATTTGATAATAATTAAACTAAAGCTGAGAACTTTGTATTTTGTTCATTACCTGACGTAGATTTTACTTGACAGAGAATGTACTTTCCTTGATATTATTCATGTTTTGTTTTCTTTCATATCGCATTGTAATGGGTCTCTTTGGAAAAACAATTCTTAAGACCAATTGTGAGGTTTGTTCTTACATGGTACATGAGTGTTTTTATAATTCTTTTGCACAGTTGTTAGTATTTGTAGTTGTGATTGGTGTTGTCCTACATGTTTGACTTGAAGAAATAAGACACTACTTTTGATGAACCATATTGAGAGTGAAGGAATCTCCTTTTGACCTGATCATGTTGGAGTACATTTACACTATGGAAATTCATGGACTCTTTTACTTGACCCTTTTTATTTGTATTTGTTAATTACATGACAAAGTTTTCGACCCGTCGCATCGCGCGGGCATGAATCCTAGTTAAGCCTAAAACGAAAGGTCACTTAGGTATTAAAAGTATAGAAGATTGAACCAAATCTTATCACGTCTGGTCTATTTAAATCAACCTAAGTCACTTGAGGTTGTTTTGGTTATCGAAGATCTCTGTAAAGGTGATTATTCTTTGGGGAATACAATGTCTCAGCTGGAACAAGCTCTTGAAGCTACGAAAATAGGCCGGACCAGTGGTTTCTGACTCCAGTCTTCCTCTTTCAACCAAAGTCAAGGATGTTACTTGTAGTGGATAGGAAAACTAATGAAAAGGGTTTGAAAACTTTGAGTTTTAACCAAAAGGACAAAAATGTGTTGTAAGTGAATAGTAAGAGTGACTTTTTAGAGTAAAAATGTTATTAGCGTTAAACGTGAACAGTATTAAGAGTGTTTCGTTAAGACTCCCGTAGTGGATACGGGAATTGGACAAGTACCACATCGAATCAGCTGGTAGAAGTTGAGATAAGCTGCCTAAAATTCAAATGACGGCACGGGGTTTTGGATGCCTTAAAAAACCGCTAGATCTAATGAAATGCCTCAGAAATCTGAGATTAAACACAAAAAACCAAAATCGCATAGAAATGAGTAGACATACCAACACGATCCAGTGTACTTGCAAGTTTTGCCCTTTCCCATGTTCTCTGTAAATAGCAAGAAAAAATTATGTCAAATGTTGCCCGATTACAACTTACCAAAATCCCAATTTTTTCTAATTTTTAACACACCCTGCTGTAGATCCATGCTGCTTAAAACTCCCAAATTTCATTGAAATTGATGTCAAAATTCAAAATTAGACAATACCAGTTCACATTAGATATGAAACATTTCTTACAAAACAAAGATTTCAGAAAAAACATCATTAAATTATATGTTTTTAAGGTAAACTGAGGGACCTGGATCATGGGTTTTCCGAGGATCTGAACGAGGGGCTTGCCCTGGAAACGAGAAGAAGCAAAGCGGGCGGGTATGATGCCGACGACCCGGCTCCGGAACTTCTTAGTCTGACCCAAGTAGACCCGGGCCCCAATTGCCACCGCAACCGCAACTCCGGCGACGATTCCGTGGACGATCCATGCCTTTGTGCTGTTCCAAGATCCAGAGGAGGAGGACGACAAGCACGTCGACATTGGGTTGATGTTTGATTTCACTGAACAGAGTGAAAGCAACTGTCGTTTTCTCTGGTAAGATTTTATGGGTATTTATACTTTCCACCCGTTCGAAACGGGTGGTTTGGGGTAGATGGAAGTTGGAAGTTGGAAGTTGGAACTCACCTGGGTGGACCGCGATCCCAATGAAATTTGAGAGTTGTAATGAAACATTTCGAGATTGTTTATTTTTAACGAAAAATCATATTTTTATCTTGGAATTTTTCATGAAAATAGTTTAGGCTAAATTTATTTTAATAAAAAAAAAATCATGTTATAACTTTATTTAATTAAAAAGATTTAAATTTTAATGAAAAATCTTTAAATTTTAATTAAAAAAGACAAAATAACTTAAATTTTAATGAAAAAGACATAATTTTAATAAAATTGACAAAAAGTCTAACGCGTGGACTCACGGTACACTGTTTATAAAATTTACGACATTGTTTATGAAACTTACTATACTGTTTATGAAAATTTAGTCCCACTCTTTGAACCCACATTCATTTTCTCAACAACACTGTATCCATCAACAATTGTTTCGAACACAACGTGCTTTCCTTCAAGCCATGGGGTCATTGCAGTGCAAATGAAGAACTGTGAACCATTAGTATTAGGTCTAGAATTTGCCATGGAGTATATTCCAGGGCCGATATGCTTCAAGTTGAAGCTCTCATCTGCAAATTTCGCCCCATAAATCGACTCTCCTCCAGTCCCATTGCCTCTTGAGAAATCTCCACCCTGATACATGAAATTATATAGGAATAATGCGATGAAATGTGAAGCCCTTAAAGTGCAGCTGCTTCCCTGATAATTCAATCCCCTTGTCTTCAGTACAAAGAGCAGGAAAATTTTAAGCATTTTTCGGGTTTTTTTTATCAGCAAATAACTCCATTACAACTCGACCCTCATCCTCTTCACATGCATGAGGCAATTCTGTAGGCAATTGAAATTTAAAATGAAGGTAGTCAAGAATATATTTACACAAATCAATAAGACTATATTAATAATTAGGGATTGGTGTGAGTGAGTGATTAAAATCCGAGGAGGATTTGGTTAGGAATTGATCAAATTCACATATATGCACGTGCTTCCTTTCGTAGTTTTTTTTTTATTTATTTTTTTGCCTTTTTTTTTCTTTTTCTTTTTATTGTCCTTACCATTAAATAAAGTTTGTAGATGGTTTTTGATTAAAATCCAAAGTTTTGAAGTTTTTTTCATTAGTTTTCCTTTTTATCTTTTCTTGATACTATTCACTACACCTTTATTTGTTATTTTTCATTAAAACTAAAAAAAAATTAGATTTTTCGTTTGTTCTCCTATGAAAATTTTTACTCATTTCTTTTCTTTCACTATTTTTTTGTTTTTCAAAATGAAACAATTAAGGGGTTCAAGAAGATTTGGGTTGAATCTGATTCGGCTCTCACTGTGGAGAAATTTTTCATTGTGCCTGAAACACATATGATACATCACGTGTCATTGTATAAGCGGAGAAAGTTTTACTTTCAAATTGTTAATTTTTTAACTCAAATATCTCACCACTTATATAATGACACATGATGTACCATCCCGTATTCCAGGCACACTGAAAAATCCCTCCTCACTGTGCACTTGATTCTAAATGCTTAAGTTGGTAATCATTCTATATGGAGTTTGATCTTAATTGTAGTGATTTTATGCACTGAAGTTGGTCTTGTGACACATTTGTCGAGAAATGAAGTTTTTTCTTGAAATCAAGTACGATATTCATTTCAATAGGGAACAATGTACAATTAAAGGAAAAAGGTGCTAACAATGAGCCTCAACAAAAACCTTCCTAGGAAGAAAACCTGAATGAAGGGAAAAAGAACATCCTGCACTGACAAAATGAAGTATGTTACTAATGATTTGGCTAATTAGATTTATCGTGCAATTTTAGTCTGTATTTTTTTAGCAAGCTCCTCCATTCTTCTACTAGTTGACATAGAAAGAGTCGCTTGGGCTGCAATTTAGGAGTCAAGTCTAAGGTCCAAGATTTGGGCTCCAATTTACAAGCAGAAAATTTCACCACACCCGCGTCACCTAGTCGGGTTAGTGCCGAAGATGACAGCATGTTGGCAAGGAAGTAACGACGTTTAATTTATCTTTCTATCGAGAACGATGTGACTAAATCAATTAACAACATAAAGTTAAGTTTCTGTTACATTTCCGAGCCGAACACTCGGATCACTGCACCAAGTCAAAAATGGTTAAATAGTCTCACCTTGCAGAACACGTTTTGATGTGCTGCATACAGGCGACGGTAACTCATCGCTAGCTCAACACGCGCCTGTTATGCACGTAAATGCAGTAAACGAGCAGTCAATGTCAGCACAGAGCCTCAACTTAGTACTGCATTTCTATTATGAGTGAACAGCAGCATGTTGTGCAGTATCCTTGGTCCGTGAATGACAATGCTCATCGGACCTCCACTAGCAGTGGAAAAGAAAATCAGACACCTCAAGAACATGGCAACTTACAAGCACGAGAAGGATTCTACCGAGTCCATGCACCACCATAAGGACCAAAACTATTGGCACTATCTTGGGAATGTCTCCGCCTCCACATCTTCTTTTTCCCCTTGTCTTTCCTTGAGCCATTTTCCTCATGCCTGCTCTTCTCTCGCCTTGAGCCATTTTCTTCATATTTGATCTTCTTCCCCACCTCCCCATTTTCTTTTCCCTCCTTACTGGACTTCTCTTTAAATGAAGCTTTCCTCTTCTTTCCTGATGATTGCCCACTGTCACCTGCAGCAGAATCGTGTCCCCGTGGCAGGGCATCATCTTCATCATCTAACTGCCAATTGCCCGGTAACTCCTGCGCATCATGCTCTAGCTGAACTGGCTCGCCTGCTCCAGGAAGCAAGCTATTAAAAGTTACCATTCCAGGCCATCCTTTGCGTTCCACCAATGTTGAATCAGGCCTAATTATGGTACCGAGAATGCTCCTGTTTGGCCCTAGGCACATGATGACCTTAGGGTTTGTCAATGTAGTGTAAGCCATTGAAAAAGCTGATCTAATCTGCAACAAATATAAGAAATGACGTGAGGGACGGAATGATGCGAGGTGGAGTAAGGTAGAAGAAAGATCAGCAAATTATAAGAATTGGATTTGCAAGTGCTGCAAGACAGTCTAACTGGTTGAAGCTAATGAAAATACTAGTACACGTGTGAGGCCATATACATATGGCAGTCAGGCATCTCAGACATGTATTGACAGACATGAATGCTAAAGAGCAATGTATACGAACTTTTTACGTGTCACTGCATGCGCACATCATGCACACACAAAGGATCTATTTGATAATTACTACTGAACAACACTACTTAAGCCACAGCCAGTCACCAATCAAGCCAAACAGCCATTTCGTCCATCAAATCCATACACTTTACATCATTAAACTATATAAAATGTAAATTAAGGTACTTGGCGGATTTGCGGAGGGTGAGAGATCATAGATCATTCAACCAACCTGAAAATAGTTGAACGAGCTCTTCCCGACGTCATTTTCTGGCGCCTATATAACAAACCATAAAAATTGGTCAATTATATCTGAAAGAAAGAAATTTTAGGAGGCATGGATCATCACTCCTGTTGAATTAAGTTCTTTTTTATCCCCGACACTGTTCTGAAACAGGGCCCAGGGATGCGAAAGACTGTCATTCACTAAAACAGCATGTCTACTAAAATTTATTATTTTTCATCATGTCAATCAACTTCCTTGAGAGGGAGCCAAACCAAGCAAATAGTTAATAGGGATTAAGTCAACTATCTCAGAGGCCTGCTTGGGAATATCAGATTAGCATTACTTAAATATACACTTAACTGGAAACGGAAAATCAAGCAGCACTTCAAGGAACGAAGATAGCATAATTGATTATGTTCTTTGTTTTTTTCCAGTCTCCAACAAACCTGGGGTCCTCAATGGCAAGAAGAAAAGGTCGTCCATTGCTTATGAACCAAAGAGAGGACAAACCAATTTCATAAGTTACATAAACTTTGACCAAAAGTAGATAATCAAATTGTACGTTAAAAATCAGAGAGAATATCATCACTTTCTCAAGAAGGCTATTTATTTTTTAACCTTTAACACTCTTTTTAAAAAAGGTGCCTGCTCCGTTGCACGATACACCAACATCTGAAGTGTTCAATTTGCGTCCATAAAAATCAAAGAAGTTTACCTATTTAAATAACAAAATAGATAAACGAAGACATAAGTCACAACCCACCGACTTTTCTTCATATCCTTTAAACAAATCCTATACTCTAATAATGAAGCTAAGAACTAGAACAATGAGGTGACTTCCATGGTCCACAAAACCCTGTTTACAGTTTACAACAAAATCCTGGTTGCTAGGATGAAGTGCAAGTTAATTGACTTGTGAAACAATGAAACTCCAAGCAGTAATAAAGATCCTAAGTTCTCTTCTACTCGATCTAGAAAAACTTACCAAAAGAACTCCCAAGTTTTGTTCCATAGCTCGACATTCCCTGAGGCTCTGTAGCATAAAATCATTATGTAAATCAGGCTAATGACTTTACTAATGATGAGGAATTTGATCCATTTATCTGAATTTCACAATTACAGAAGTTGTTAATTGCTTATCTATCATCCAAACGAAAGATCATATTTGTGTAGCAATATATCTAGTTCATTCTAATTGTAGAAACTTGTCCTTGGATCTCATTCACACTCTTATGTAGATTCATTTTCTTTCCGCTGTAAGACTCAATGAAGCAGCAAGTTTACAGAACCAAACAAGAGCCATGCATTACAGGTATACAGTACAAGACATAGTCAAGAAAGAATGGCATCAAATATTTAAATGTGTATACATAGGCAAGAAGTCATCAAATGTTAAAATGCATATTTAAGAATCACTCACATGCAACATCGCCATGATCATTGTAAGGAGGGCATAGGAACCTAACCACCAGAGTATACCTGCATATGTTATCAGAATGTTGAATTAGGCTGACTCGAAAGATAATAAAGAAAAAGAAAGACAACTTAATCTGTTAGACTGGAAAGTCATACCTCGTTTAGCTCTCTCTGTTGTAAAAAGACTTTCAAAATCAAACATAAAGGCTGCAAAGGAGGCCACTTAGATACTGCATCCTGAAAAGAGACCACAAGATAGTGTCAAAGGGAACTGAAAATAGTTAAAGTCCCTTGCTTTATATGTAATCTATATCATTTCATCTGGCTCCTCACATGGTTTTCTGTTTTTCTTTTGAGTGTCTACAACACTTTACTAGGTGGAAGCTGTTCAATATTTTCTGACATTGCAACGTTTAACTTAGCAAAATTAATTTTAAATTTCAAATTCACAGTTAACCAAGTTATCATTTATTACTTCTTTTCACCCCTCTGTAATATTCTTTCACTATCAACATGCTTATATAAATATTGTTCAAAATACTGTAACTACATCTGAAAACATATTAAACCTTGATCAATGCAATGAAGAGCACAAAGTTGCAAACGACAATGTTAACACTGTTCAAAGGCACATGGCCAGGCTCTGATCTATAGAAATTACAATATTCTTTCAAACGCATAGTAGATGTTAGAATATGCAACAAACCTGAATAAAATCAGCAGCTTTTGGTCCACTTTCTATGTCAAAACTGTGAAGGAAGAAATAAAATTATACTTAATTGAGCAAAAAATTGAGGCTGAACCTATCACAGGCAATGCTCATCAATACATTCTAGTTTTATTAACCCAAACTATATTGCCAAAAACCTTATGTCACGATCACGATATCATTGTTCGTGCTTAAAATCACACACCTGCACATTCGCACTCACCCATACGTAGGAAAAAAACAGTACCTTGGATCGAGGAAATATATATTTGATTAGGTTAGAGACACGTTGTACTGCTGCACTGCGTGACTCTTGTTCTTCTGGGGTTGGAGACAGAAAATCACAAAAATCCACAATCTCTGCAATACCCATAACACATGCACAAATTTGAAGTTGCACATACACACCACATTACAATTACACAATTTTTTCCCCTAGAAAGACATTGAATTCAAATACAAGTAAAAGAAAAAAGAAAAAAAAAAAAATATATATATATATATATATATGTGTGTGTGTGTGTGTACGTATCTATGCAGTTAAAAGTGGAGGAAGTACCTTTATGAAGCTGAAGCATAGGGCTTTTGAATTTACAATGACCACGAAACCACCCGCTCTCGAGCTTCGGCTCGACTTCAAGAGCCGGCGTCGTCGGCTCGGATTGGTGAAGCGGCGTCCATGGCTCCGCTAGGCGGAGAGAAGACGAGGAGGAAAGAATTGGGTCAGGTTCGTCGGCGGCGACGTCGAGGGAGAAGAAATCGGGGGCGGCGGTGTCGACCGGAGCGCATTGGGGAGTGGAGAGAGTTATTTCGTTGCAGAAAACAGAGTAGAGCTCGAGGTCATCGGGCGGCGGCGGAGATTGGTTGAGGGTGGGAAGAGAGAGGGCGGGTAAGGTTTCGTAGAAAAAGCTTTGTGTCGGTGGCTCCTCCATACTGCAGAGGCGGATACGGCGGGTACAGGAATTCGGGGTTGTGACTTGTGAGAGTTTATGCCTTTTTTTTGGGAAACTTGGGAGGGTTTTGCACTTTTTTACTTGTTTGAATGCTGGTCAAACAATGATTTCTGTTAACGGAAATATGAGAATTTGTAAAGGCGACCAAAGAATGTTGGTCAAACATTGATTCTTGTGGTGGTGAATTATATGTTGGTGATCAAACATAGCTGAAATATCTTTGTAAATTTTTTCGGTCTTTAGAATAATAGACTGTCATAACAAAGTTTCTTACTAGGTTGTTTATTAAAAAAATTACTTTAATTTTACAGAAGAAATAGTTCAACTAAATTCATAGTTTTAGTTGTAGTAAAATGAAATAAAATAAAATCATAGTTTTAGTTTTATTTGCATTAAAATTTTTGGGATAGCTTTTTGTCTAGCTTTCCGGACCCCTTTTAGAAACTACTTGGAAATTCGTCTCCGTACACATCGAGAAATAGGACATGAGTAGTGTATCACTCGAGATAAAAGAGTCGACTCACTAACCATTCGAGATGGGCGGCCTCAATTGTTGTTGAAGAGGAGACATTCTTACGTTCGTTGCCCGAACCACTTCAATCATACGACCCATTGACAAAAATTTACGCCTACTCCACTGCATCTGATTTTCAGGCTCACCAAACTCCACTCTTTGGTCTCACCCTCCTTTCTCTTTGTCATAGCCCGGGTTCTAGACATAAGAATCT